GCTTAAAAAGCAAGATTGATATTTTACATTCAAATATTTAAGATTAATCAGCAATATTATTACTATTTTTTTTGCAGTTTATTGACATTTGACTTGATACTTCTTTCAACACTGACTTGTGAAGCAGCATGTGCAAATTGTTTACTAAAAATATTTTTAATATGTTAATTATATGAAATACTTAAAAAAAAATATAGAATGTACTTACATTAAAAACTCTTTATTATATGGTTTTTGTTTTTCTTCCTCTTTTTTGTCTTCTTTTCTATAACGTTTTACATTAGAAGAACGTTCTTTATCTCTAATTTTAGCATTTTCAATCATTTCTATTCTCATTTTCTCCATTTCTTTTTCTGTTAATTTCTTTTTCTTGGCAGGTGGTGTTTTGGGTCGAACAATGTTTGGTTTTTTTTTATCTTTTATAAACACCGGACTAATAGATGACCTTTTTACAATGTTACCTTTAGGAACCTATTAAATAATTAATTTTTATTGATTTATCTATTGTATTAAAGTAAATTTCAAGACACAAATAATATCTAAGGCTAAAAAAAAAAAAGGTATTCCTCATAACTTATTGTTATTGAAATCCTAAAATATTTAAGTAAGCATATTTTGGTACTCGTTTAGTTGACGCCTGCCACTTAGGTTTAATTGACGTCCGACATTTATATTTYTCGTATTTTCTATAAAATTAGGAACTAGGTATTAAAAAATAATAATAACTATAACATAATATATACAAAAGTATGAAAAATTATATTAAATATTTTATCTATGAATCTGTTTGAGGAAATACTGAGATATATTCGAATTTTGGCCACCTGCATAAGTTTATGTATTTTTAATTTTAACGATTATTTTATAGTATCCGTAAATAGAATATTTAATATAATTTTTTATACTTTTGTATTTATTGTGTTATAGTTATTATTATTTTTAAATACCTAGTTYCTAATTTTATAGAAAATAAATAACAGAAAATACGAGAAATATAAGTGGAATGCTTCAACTAAACCTGAGAGGTGTGAGAATACGCGAGTTGGAGGACGTCAGCTAAATTAGTACCCATACATTTTTTATAGTTAATTCAAATTCAAATTTTGATAAAATGTACATTTTCATAGTATTTTTCCTAGTTAAAGTTTTAACTTTATTAATTCTAGAATAAATTACTATAATATTATTTTTCAATATGAGAAAATATACCACCTCAATAGTATAGTCTGACAGACCTAGCACTGCTCCGAATCGTATTATGTATGCAATGATGTATCCTTGAATTCAATTAACACATCTATTATGATCACCTAYTTAATGATGAGATATCATCATACTCCTACCRTAAATCAGAGCKGTCACTTTCTTTCCAACCATGATTATTATCCAAATAACAAATACTAATTAAATATTTTAATATTATTTAACTTCACTATTCTTTTAGTATTGTTTAATTTTAAATATACATATAATTTAATATTTTTAGCATCAACATGGTCAAAATGTGATACAATTATTTTAAAATATTCAAAAATGAAAAAATTACAAACATTTTAAATGACTAGAACTGAGTAGTTCTAAAAATTATCTTTAAATTTGTATCTGATATAATTATCAATTAAAATAATTAGTAAAAAATTACTAACTTTTATATTTTTACATTGTAACAACTTATGGAATCATTTTAATTGCGCTTTAATAGAAATTACCCATCACTACCTTGAGATATATAAAACAGTTTTTCTTGGCTATTGATATACAACTAAAACTGAAAGATTTAATTAATTTGAATATCTTACTATTAATCCATAGTTCWTGTTTCCTTTGTGTTCATCTTTTTCAGTATCTGATTGAAACTTTGGACTATGTCGTTGTTTGGAAGTCTGCTTCATTGTATYATTATTCTTTTTTTCATCATCTGAACTTGACAAACTACTTGACTTTTGCCTTTTTTTATCTTTTTTAATTTCATTTACTTTTTGATATTTGTTCCTTTTTGGGGGACTCTCTGATGATCTATTTCTATGGGTATTTAAATGTTTACGATATCCATCACTATTTTTTGAATTTTTGGTAACCTTTGACTCATGGTCTTTGTCAGAACTGTTTGGTCTGTGATGATGGTTATTACTTTTAATATTATATTTACTATGTTCAGAAGCATTTATAGGTTTTTTCCGTTCCAGTTCTCTATCTGAACTTGATGTTCGTTTCCTTTTATTATCATGTTGTTTCTCTCTACTTTTAGATTCTTGTTGTTTATATTGTTCATCTTTTTTTATATTATCACTGTATTTTTTKTTATTATCTTGTTTGACATAATGATTATTTCTATATTTATTTTTTGAAATTTTATCATTTTGATCATATTTTTCTTCCGAGATGGATCTGTTGCGTTCACTTCTTTTTTTTTTWAAATTTTTCTGATTGTCATCGCTATCATCAGTACTAGTTGATCTATGTTTTCTACGATGATCTTTATATTTATGGTTATCACTTTTATTATGTTTATATTCTTTTGCTAATTTATTTCTCTTACTAGAATCTTCATCATTCGAAGATGAAATTGACCTCTGTTTATCCCTTTTAATTTTGTTGTMTTTTTGCTTGTCTTCTCCATATTTGAGAAATTTTTTATCATTTTGCTTTTTGTCTTCTCGTTCAAAATTTCCAGACTTTTGTACATGTTTTTTTTTCTTATTAGACAATTTTTCATCATCTTCAGAACTAGAACTATCAGTTTTGTTTTTTTTTTTATGTTCTTTTTTATCTTTATGTTTGGTAATTGACAAAATTTTTTCAAGACCTAATCCAGCTTTTTCATATGATTTCAAACGRCTAACTAGTATCATATCTAACTGATGATCATCAATAATATGTTTTTCATTTTGGATATTTTGTTGTTTTTTCAGGCGCATTGGATTTTGAAGAATTTTTTGAGTGCATTCAATTTCCCGCTTTTTTATATTAACCAATGGATCTTCTGAAATTTTTTTTGTCAAGTCTACTTGAGAAAATTTGTCTGATGAGCATATTTTTGGTGGCAAAATTGAATCTAAAATACATAAATAAAGTACAGTATGAATTATGAATATAAATTCAATTCAATATATTATCATGATGAGTAAACTAAACTTTAAAATAAACAATTAAAAAAAAAAAATCAAATTTAAATTTATTAATGTTTGATGGTACCTATATGGGTTATATCAATTTAAAAACTAAATATAATGATCAGCCAAAAACTATGTGTCATACTAATTGATTGTCATCATTAAATATTTACAACTAACTYAATATCAGTTTTATTTATTAATACAAATATAGGTATTCMGGAGGAGATTGATAATTTATTAACTCTAATTATAAATRATTATGATACATTTATTTAAATTTTAAAGTGTAATTTCWTAATTAGCGACTTATGAACTTATAGTGTTTATGAACGTTGTTCTTTACAACCACTGGAACTGATGTATTTAATGTAAGATATTTATAACATTTTAAAAATAAACTTAAATCAAATTTGAATATCAAAGCAATTTATAAATAAGCTATTGATTATTGAATATGAATAATATAARATAAATTATATGTGCAACAATTCTTTTGACAATTACCGTTATCTGTGCTTTCWCCATATTTTCTATCAATTTTTTTTCCCAATAGATAGTCGTCTTTTTGTACTCGTGTACCATCGTACATCCAATCCATGATTGATGATTTCAACAAACCTTAAATATATTAGATTTTAGTGAATAAAAAATAGCGGACTTATTAAATTGAGAATTAAAATAAATKATCAATTGTATATACCTATTTACAAGTCAAGTTTAACGATATTATACAGCWTGAGGTGTATCACACTTATTTTGAACATAAAATGTACAATCACTTTTAACTATGAAAACGACAAAATTATGAATCTGTTCAGTAATATTCAATTTATTAAGGTAAAAGTATTCCATTGACAATTATAATGATCGAATACAATTCACAATAACAATTTTAAATTGCACGCGTTGTTGTTATTGTAAATATTGATATTTTAATTTATTTTATCGTTATCAAAAATAGATAACAACAAAGATTTTCTCTGAAGGAGTTGAAGTGCATCGATACGTATCGCTGAATCAGAATGACTAAATACATTTATTTATTAATATTATGATTTATGAGTCATGTGTTGGTATCGGTACGTTTAAATTTTACACAAAATATTATAGAATATTATACATAAATTATGATTTATGAACCWAGGCAATAGGCATTAAATATTGCATACCTACGTCCTACGAAACGGAAACGTCTTACGATTACACGTTTATCGATGAAATTTGGTTTATTGTACCAACATAGAACAAGTACCACTCAGGAATGACTATTTAGTTTAGGTATCATTGTATTAACAAATTTAATTTTCACATTATTAGTTATTACTTATTTAATAATAAGTATCACTGCGTCTAAATCAAAACCCAAATTGCAAAACTTAATATGAATGTAAAGTTTTCTTCAACAAGAGTGTTTTCGGATTTCTGTA